ACTCTCTCCAGCAGTTCCCTGTCCTTCTTGAACTGAGGGGCCCAGAACTGGACACAATATTCCAAATGTGGTCTCACCAGGCCAGAGTAGAGGGGAAAGAGAACCTCTCTCGACCTACTGACCACACCCCTTTAAAGAAGGCTTTATTCAACGTGAATACAGGTAGCATAATCTCAAAGAAAGGTTTTTAATTATTATGTATTGAGTATTTTCTTCGGCTTCAAAAATACTGATTATCTCTTTATAAACAATCTTTTTTTAAATCCAGTGATGGATTATTTTAAAAAATGAGGGTGTTAAACTTAATGTATGAGCATGTCATATACAGAATTATATCATGGCTTACTTTGCATCATTACACAACACGTGTACTCCTTCATGGTGGTGCCCCATATCACTGGTTGTAGTGCAGGGAAGAACCTGTGCTCTCCAGGGGTGTCAAGGGAAGTTCATGCACCAGCTGACACTGCTTCTGACACACCAACAAGTGTAGCTTTCCTTTGGGACAGATGAGAGCCCAGGGAGAAAATTGTGGAGAAAAAATAAAGTTGTGGTTTAGACCAAGAGTCCTTGAAACACGAAAAAACAATGAGTGACCTTGAACCAGGAGAAATGATTGAGTGAAGGCAGAGGAAGAGTAATCCTACAGTGTTGGTCATGTAGAGAAGAGAGAAAATTATATATGTGCACTGACAGTACAAACCTGATTCTGAGGATTGTCTTTTGGAATTGAATGATAAAATGAAAATCTCAGGTTTTCATGTTTTCTGGTCTTCCTGACAGAAGTCGAAATTTGAAAATTGCATACCAGTGCTACCAGTATAGGCACTGATACCTGTGAGTGTGCAGGCAACACTGTCATCTCTCTGATCTTTTCTTATCTGGGCAGGAGCCCACTGCTGTGGTGTAATGTGTGACTGTCCTTGTATCAGCAAATTCCATTTTTGTAGAGTCTTATTATTTTGAGGGTCATGTGATGATGTTGTCAGTTATTTTCCTTCCTCACCCCATTCCCCATGCAGAAACTCCCTCCCATGGTTAGTTTTGTTTTCTGTGAACTCCAGAAGGAGTGAAGGTCCAGACAGTGGGGGATCCTTTTGTAGAAGGGTTCTCCAGGCTTCCCAGCCAAGGGGACCCTATAGAGTAAGAGTTAAGGATAAAAATAACACCACTCCAACAGATTTTTGGAGACTACCTCTGCTACTGCTGCTATGAAAAGAACAAAGCACCGATATTACGGTTCAAGGGGCAGGCTTGTGAAGGATATTTGGGCCATTTTGTATCTTAATGGTACATTTGCCTTGGAGTCTAAACTGTTTTGCAATTGTCTAGTACGTGACAGCAAAAGTAGACATGGAAGATCAAGAAATTTATTCTTAGGTAAGAGAGGTCTTTGGTGTGGGGTTTTTGGAGACTTCAGAAGTTTGTGAGAGGCTGCTAACAATTACCGCCAAGGATAAGTAAGACATGTGTTTCAAATGTTAGTGATTATATTGCATAGCTAGCCTCTGTGTTTTCATAGCACGTTTGCCCACAGGTTTAAATAATATAAATGGAAATTATTTTAGCATGTTTCATTAATGTGCCTCTAAGCTATGTGCAGCAGAAGGTGCAGTGTTGTTGGTCTAAATGATAGTTGTATAGATCCTGTGACACCTAATAGTTATGATGTTACCTTTGGAGTGTGGTATGGAGTATGGTATGGTATAGCATGGAGCTCATCTGGGATAAATGTTTAGGTGATACGTAAAAATCTAATTTTTTTCAGCTGAAAGACTAACAAATATATGAAAATACTCACCTAAAAGTGTTCTCCTGCAGTACAAAAAGTTGTTAGAGCATAGTATTTCTTTCTCCCATATATTATATTGAAGTACTTCTTTGAAGACTATAATGATGTATTTTGTTCTTACACTTAAACCTCTGCCGATGTCATACTCCTTGTCTTGTGATAACATCATTACTACTGTAACTAAACTGTTTATATATATAGATATGTATGTATGTATATACACACATATATATATATATACACACCAATCTACAATTCAACAGTTGAAGTAACCAGAGAACAGTGAGGAATAATATTAAAACATCCTCAATAATATGTTGAAAATAGATAATGAATTAAAACTGATATATGCTTTATAGAAGTTTTCAAAGACACTGAGTTTTTAATGGCTTTTTAAGCAAGGTTGTAAGAAGCTTCATGAAACATAGGCCCTGAATATAAAATATTAATAGCTTGCAACTACATTAATGTAATGACTGGAATATTACGTTACTTTGTTTCCAGAGATAATCAATGATGGTAATATAGTATCTACCTCTCATAGACAAAGTATGATTTAAATTAAATATTGCTTGTAAAGCACTTTGAAATCTTTAGCAGAAAGGTGTTGCAGAAGTGTAAAAGTACTATTATTAATTTAACATCACCATTAAAGTCAGTACTTTAGGAGCATTTGCTATACTCTGCTCAGTATCTTTTTATTCATCATATGCTGCATATTAGTTATTTTAACATTTAGAAAGCTTAGTAATCTGGAAGTATTCCAAACCATTGTTCCAGACAGCAGTTAGATATTTGGGTGGATCATGTAAAAACAGTGAAATGGCTGAGAAAGCATGTAAAATGTTTGTTTTAAGTAATATTACATCAATGGAACAGACATCTGCAGCTCTGGACTTGGTTTCTAACTTCTTTAAATTTTTTTTAAGTTAATGTTGTACTATGTTTTTCTAAAATTTATTTTGTGGGAGCTAATGTCATATTTCTAAACAAGTATATTGTTTTACCTTTTGTTCAGTTTTCATTTCTATTTCTCAAATATTTGTAGGAAATCAGATTTACAGTGGGCATGTCTTAGAATGTGGTGAACACCTGCCACTCATTATTGTTGCTGTTTGGTTCTGTAACCTAACATTAACTATCAGTATCTATATTATCTATTTTAGTTTTCATTCATGTTGTCTCTTGTATCAGACTATTTAAAAATATGAGCAGTGATGGGCCTTTCAGGTTATAGCCTCAGAAAAAGAGTATAGAATCACTCTATCATATAGTGATTGTGCACTTTAAAATAATGCTGCATGTTTACACAGTTGTTATCTGTAAGGTTATATTCCAGATAGTCCCAAATGTTGAAAAAGAAATTTTAAGGACTCTGTTGTCCATCTTTCCCAGTATCACTGACTTGAATTTGTGCTAGCTCTGGAATTCAACGCAGGATCCACTGGCTTTGGAGCCAGTTGTAAGATGGGGTAAAACACCTCTGACATGAAAGTTTAGGGTCCAGCCAGGCTTCTCAGCCCCACAGAGGCAGGTGAGGAGAGCAGTCAGGTGAATAACAGATACATCTTCATGAATGGTATAAGCTGATGTTCCAGCTCTCTGAAAGCAATATTATTTTAAAAGCCAAATGTGTGAGTAAATCGATTAAAAGATTCACCTGGAAGTGGTTTGCTGAGTCAGCAGTGAGGAAGTTCGATTTTCACCATGTAGTTGAAAATGAGGATATTAATTACTGTTAATATTTTTTGAGTCTTCTCCTTGGGGTAGACATTTTATTTAAAAATTACTACTTGCACTACTAGGAATGGAGGAATCTTTTCTAGGAAACTGGAAATTAATTTTCTTCTCTTCTTTTAATTTATTCTATGTTCTGAGATGAATTTAATATGTATTGCCAATGAATTAAGCATCAAACCTTTTGATTTCTCTTGGGACTACTAAATCAGTTAACAAACAGGTTTATCATACCTAGAACAAAATGCCGTATGGCTCAAGTTCACCAATGTTATTTGCGGATATATGCTAGAAGATTAAAGTATGCTATTAATATGAAATTACACATTTCAAGCTCATTTTTCAGTTTTTGCTGTTGTATCAGCAAACGGGGTACCCATGTTTCCAACAAATGCTACATTGTATATGAAACAAACTTCAGCTAACTTCAGCCTTAATTCTGCATAGTTCCATGCACAGGAATATCAGCAAAACTGATCAAGTATATTCTCCTGTTTTCAATCAGATTTAGGGTTGAGGTTTTTTTCTAAAAATACATTAAAAATTTTGAAATGTAGACAAATTATCCCTAATTTACATGTCACTGGAAACATTTAAAAGCAATCCACATAAATAAATGTGTATCTTTTTTTAATGTGAACCCTAACTCCTGTTGATATTAATGATGACACGTACATGCTTTCCTTGTTCGGTGTAAATGTTATCCAAGGCAAGTAGCTATTTGCAAACTACGGGATGCTTTGTATGAAGCTAATTAGATAAATAAATTCCTTTTCATTGAAGAGCAGTCAGTCACATAGGAGTCATTAGCACAGTAAGTTGTGGCTGCAGGGCAATTTAAGGTTATTTAAGCACAGGCTGCCATTTTAATTCCGCAAACAATTTAGGTCAGCACTTGAGGCAATGCAGCTACCGCAGGATGTCCTGCCCTCCGTTTGTCTCCAGCAGCTCCTTCTTCTCATGAGCATCACTGCATGGTCCTGCAGGTGCTGGTGCTGGCACAAGCAGTAGAGCAGCTGGAGAGTACAAAAAGCCACTGTAGGTGAGAGAGAAAATAAAAACTTCTGGTGGTGACAGTGCCAACATAGGCTAGTTTAAACTATTTGTGAAATAACAGCCTAAATTATTGTATCAGGTAGAAGGCAGAAGATCATAGTGAAATGTTTGTGCTGTTATTTTGAAGTAACAGCTGTTCCTCGTGATTTGTAGATCTCCAAACCTTATTTACTCATGTTGTGTATTCTGTGCTAGCCACAGTTTTAAAGTTCAGATTTGTACCTTCTTAATAAGAGTGGGGAAGAAGAAGAGGGGCACTTCAGACCTGCTTTGTTTCTAAATAAATGGTGCCGTTTCATTTACAGTTACTGTGGAAAAAAAATACTGCTTGCTTTGTTTTCGGCTGTTAATGAAAATTGTCCACACGTCAAAGCCATTCTAGAGTAATGAGAATGATCTGTGTTTTCATTTTCAGCACCAAAGGGAATACTCCATCTCTCTCCTGATGTTTATCAAGAGATGGAAGCAAGCCGCAACAAATCAGCCCCTGGTACCACTGTAAGCTATTTGTCGTCCAAAGAAATGAGCCAGACTTCTAGCTCTTTCTTCAGCATATCTCCCACAACAAATAGCACAGCTACGATTGCCAGGGAACTTCTCATGAACGGAACGTCCCCAGCTGCCGAAGCCATAGGTCTAAAAGGAATATCTCCTGCTTCCCCCTGTTCTGCAGTGCAGCCTTCAAAACAGCTGGAGTATTTGGCAAGGATTCAAGGCTTTCAGGTATGGGAGGGGGAAAATGAAGCTCTTCAGCCAGAATCATAGCATTGCCATCAAGTTTTCCATCTTGCCCTCTTGAATGTGGGCATGCATGTAACTTATCTTGTAAAATTAGCTGGTGTCCAAGACAGTTTCTGGGTCCAGGAGATACAACCCTGCACCAATATACATGTCCCTCCTCCTCTTTTTTTGTTCCATCCTTCCATTCACCTTACTGCAGGCCATCTTTCTCCCATTTGTTTATTCTGCTTAAATAATTACAGGCTTAAATTACACTTTTTACTTGCACTTCTTTGAGTGTCTTCACCTCTTGGCATTAGAAGCTTTACATACTGCTCTGGCGCTGGTTTCTCTCTTCGACTCTGATCTAGAAGGTACTGACACACCACCTTAACTTTGCGTTTCTCTTCTGGGCTGGGTCCTTAAAGCTGTTAACCTGCTTTCCACCCTGCACCTCCTAGTTGTAACCTGTAAAAAACAACGTTTTTATCAGAAGGTGGAGCCTAGGAGCAGACCTGGTGTCAGAGCAATGCAGAATGTTTTTGACATCGCAGTCAATACTAGAGAATGTAAGATGAACCGTGCTGGGTCAGTGCGTGAGTCTGTCAGCATTGATGACCTGTAACCAGCAATGGCAAACACCCAACATTTCGTAGGAGAGTGGCAGCCTCTGTAGTGCATCCAGTCATTTCCGCAGTGCAGAAGATGGGGAAAGAAAGCCTCTTCCCAATCACCATTACATGCAAAATTACATGTATATATGGATAGCAGCTCTTTTTACTGTGTTGCACCATCAGAGAATAGAACCAGCTATGTAGAAATACTCTTTTTCCTGTCACAGGTTTTTGGTTTGGGTTGGTTTGTTGTTTGTTTTTTTTTCCTTTTCAGAGTTGTGAATTTGTTTATTTGAAAAGTTGGTTTCATATGTTTTAGCATATGTAATTTGATCATGTAACCAAATTCTGGAAATGGGAGATTTCTGTTAGAATTTTTGCATGCCTGATAAATGATTTTTTTCATCAAAGCCAATGTAATTTACAAAGTATGCAGTTACTGGAAGTGATTTAAAAGAGGCTGCTACAATTTGAGAAATAGTGTCAGATGTTCTGTTGGCATAAGCAACATAGTTAATTTCAATTTGCATACATCAGCTGACACAAGTTGTGGATTTGACCTAACACTGTTTCTGTCTAAAGTGTACATTCAGCTTTCTTTTGGTCTTCATTTTTACAATGTCATTTTTCATTCATTAGTTTGAATATCTCGTAATGCAAGAAACGGTAAAAGTCTAAACCTCACCATAGTTGAGTTAAGCTGCTAATAGGAATTCAGTTTTCCTGAGTTCCACTTGTTACCTGCCTGCAGTAGGAACAGATGAATTCCGATGAAAAGAAATTCAATCCGTGAAGTTTTCACTGCTCGCTTTCACATCTTGTCAGATTGCCTGTGTCTACTAGTAACACTTTATTTTCATAGAACCGATGCACAATTTATGTTACTGTTTTGATTCCTATTTGCCTACAATATGTGGTTACTGTAAAATGATTAGTTGTGTTTGTCCTGTTTTTTTCATGCTTTGATTTTAGATGCTTATGTAGAAATTGTTTTTAAAGGGTCTTACCTTGAGCCAAAAACTATAATCTGTTTCATCTGTAAAGTAGACTACTACTTTTTACTCGGCCCTGATACAAGTCAAGGAGTTCGTAGAGAATCTCAATTATTAACGCCTATCCGCTCTGTATGTAACTGATGGTTTTACATAATCTTAGCGTGCTTTTTAACACCTCGCTTGAATAAGCCTGGTATCGATGTGAAACTCTGCCACTGCTGGGTGGCTGAGCCGAGGTGGAGCAGTGAATAGAATCTCTGTGGGAAATGGCTTAGTGTCCTGTCAGGTGCATATCACAGGTCTCTGTGCCATTTCAGCCTAGAAAGCTCTTTGTGTTCAAGAGTTTAAAAGCCGATTTCTTTACAGGTTAACTTTCTCAGGCATATTTACTCAGTAGAAAACTACTGCATTTGCAAACAGCTAGCTTGTTTCATGTTTCTTGAATGACCCAAAATGATTTTTAAATTGTTAGCATGTATTTGTATTCTGGTCCGGATGATAACCATAGTTTTGTCTTTCATTGAAGAACGTATACATTCTGTTCTGTTACAATGTATTTTTGAATTTTTTAAAAAATCAATAAATACTCATATGATGTTTCATTTGTAAATGTAAAAAATGTTATTTGCTTATTTGAATGGTTTTTTGAACTTCTTTAGCTGCAGGGGATTCGTCCTTAAAGTGTGGTTATTTAATTTAAATTCTTCTAAACTGTTCATATATGATCTCAGCCATGTTCTATTGTAAGCCCTTAATATTAAGAGTTACTGGGACCAATGTATGGAAAAGTACTAAAAAATTACATTTTCATGTTTAATGGCTTATTATTCTAAAAATATTTGTAATTGATAAGTAGCAGCTCAGTGTCACTGAAAAACAGGTGTTTAGCCTGGATACTTTCAAAGCTCAGGCTTCAAATTACCAGTGATAATTAAACACAAATACTTCAAGCAAGCCTTTACAAACTCTGAATAAAGCATTTTTAGTGCTTGCTTCTTATTTATGAGTACGATCTACCAGTTAATTATTTTGCAGACTTTGCCTGGAGATTGTTTAAAGGAAAATTCAGCTTTGGCAAAATTGTTATTTATAAGTGGCTGTGGTATTTTGGCCATTGTTTTGTAACTAGATTAGGAAAGTTACAGTTATTTTTGCTGACCGTTTGAGTGCAGTAAATTATTCAGAGAGTTTGTTTAAATGGAAACATTTAGAGAAGCTGTTTACACATGAATAATTTGAGCCTCCAGTTTTTACTGAGGGAAAAAACCAGTTGCAGGTAGTCCAGTAGGAAATTCCCCGGGGAGTTTCCATGAAGCAAAGATCATGAAATTTAAAAAGCCATGATTGAGTCCCCACTGCAGCCATTCTTGGCTTGCCGCATTGGCAGGACTTAGGGATCTTAACTTTTTCTCCATAGTGGCTACATAATAAAACTTCCCATAGGATATAGTTTCTATGTGATATATTCCTTTGATTGCAGTGATTACACAATTTGTATATCTTTTTTTTCCCATCCCTCTGCATTTGTTTAGTGGTTAACTGTTCCATTTTATACACGGATATATTTAAATGCTTTACTGTTGGGCATTTCTAAATGTTTCTCATTCCCCAGCCAGTAGCAAAAGCATACATTTCTGAATGACTGCACACACAGGAGAAGTCCTGCTGGACACTCTGGAGTCAGGGTTACTGGTGGCTCCTACATTTCAGCACGTGGTTTTGAATTGTCAGCAGAGGTGGGCCTGAACTAAATTTCCACATTTTGTATGAGCTCAAACCTTTCCCTA